ATAGCAACAAAATTATCCTATGGATGCTGAAGAGATTTACATCAGTGCAACACCTTGGGAAGCGCCAATACGCGTGGCACCAGCGGCAACGAGATCATCCATCTCCTGCTTGGTGTGGATACCACCAGCGGCCTTCACGCCGCACTTGGAACCAACAGTCTCACGCATAAGCTTCACATGGTGAACAGTAGCACCATACTTGCTGAAGCCCGTACTGGTCTTCACGAAGTCGGCACCAGCAGCAACGCAAACCTTGCAAGCCTTGACAACTTCCTCGTCAGTCAAAAGGCAGCACTCAAGGATAACCTTCACGACAACACCATCGGTTTCGGTGTTGGCCTTCTGGTTAGCCAAATAAGCGCGGACAGAATGGACAACGCTGTAGACATCATCCTCAACCTTATCCCAAGAGTCGCTCTTGATGTAGCCAATGTTAATGACCATATCAACCTCCTTAGCGCCGTCCTTGACAGCCTGGACAGCCTCGAGAGATTTAGCAGCAGTCGAAGTAGCACCAAGAGGGAATCCGACAACAGTGCACACTCTAACATCGGTGTCCTTGAGAAGCTCGTAAGCGAGAGGCACCCAACAAGCATTGATGCAGACACTGGCGAAGTCATACTGCTTGGCCTCAGCGCACAACTTGCGGATCTTCTCCTCAGTGGCATCAGCAGCAAGCTGAGTATGATCGATAAACTTATTCCTCTTCTCAGGGGCCTTGTCACTAGCATAAGCGTTAGGGCAAGTGAAAGCGGGAGGGACAGGAGTCATACCCTTGAAGAATGGAACGGGGAAGGACATTTCGAATGAAACAGGCAAGTTATAAATCCAAAACTGAACCAGAAACGGTAACATCCTCTCTTATGACTATAAGACACTGGAATCACCACTTCAATTCCTGAGAGATACCAGTTGATGCTGCAGCTGATACTAAGAGGATACCACAGCGCTAAGCTTAAGCCATTCAGAGACAGAGCAGTGTATCAAGCTACGTTCAAGTTGATCAAATAGTGTATGAATAATCTTCGAGATGAACATCACTAACCTCGTACGACATACGGTCCTCCCACACGACAAATGTTTGTTTAACATCTTATCGAGAGGTTCAGCTGTAGGAACGCAGTCGAATACCAGAGACGAAAATGCCCATGAAATGTGAGACCCACGAAATGTCTGTACACGGCCTTGATTACACATGTTACTAGACATCATATCAGATAAACACCTCCGACAGTTTGCTATCCTCGTGATCTTTATTCCTCCACAGTAATAGTATAATAATATCCTTTATAAATCTATTACTAATAATAAATGGGGTATTAAATATGTATAATATGATATATTAATTATACCAAAAAAGATGAACTATTTCAATGATATTTCAGCTACAAATCTGAAGAACAGCACACTTTCACTCAAGTGCTGTACGTATATATGACAGAGCACACTAGATATTTATTCTTTAGAATCAGATAAACGCCACGGCATTGATCCGGATAACTATCAGCTACGAATATTCAGTTTCTGCTTGACTCTAGTACTTCACTAGTCCCTTACCTTTTCTCGAGGTATTAACTGACCATAAGATACTAAACACAACGCGAGATACAATATTATAGACCTCGCGGATGATTCCCCCACGAGGATCTTATAAACTAGACATATTATGATTCATTAGACAGCCTAGAACAGCTTTCTCGAATACTTACATCAGTGCAACACCCTTGGAAGCACCAATACGAGTGGCACCAGCAGCAACGAGATCATCCATCTCCTGCTTGGTGTGGATACCACCAGCGGCCTTCACGCCGCACTTGGAACCAACAGTCTCACGCATAAGCTTCACATGGTGAACAGTAGCACCATACTTGCTGAAGCCCGTACTGGTCTTCACGAAGTCGGCACCAGCAGCAACGCAAACCTTGCAAGCCTTGACAACTTCCTCGTCAGTCAAAAGGCAGCACTCAAGGATAACCTTCACGACAACACCATCGGTTTCGGTGTTGGCCTTCTGGTTAGCCAAATAAGCGCGGACAGAATGGACAACGCTGTAGACATCATCCTCAACCTTATCCCAAGAGTCGCTCTTGATGTAGCCAATGTTAATGACCATATCAACCTCCTTAGCGCCGTCCTTGACAGCCTGGACAGCCTCGAGAGATTTAGCAGCAGTCGAAGTAGCACCAAGAGGGAATCCGACAACAGTGCACACTCTAACATCGGTGTCCTTGAGAAGGTCGTAAGCGAGAGGCACCCAACAAGCATTGATGCAGACACTGGCGAAGTCATACTGCTTGGCCTCAGCGCACAACTTGCGGATCTTCTCCTCAGTGGCATCAGCAGCAAGCTGAGTATGATCGATAAACTTATTCCTCTTCTCAGGAGCCTTGTCACTAGCATAAGCGTTAGGGCAAGTGAAAGCGGGAGGAACAGGAGTCATACCCTTGAAGAATGGAACGGGGAAGGACATTATTTGATGTGTAGTAAGAACTATAAAACCTAAAGA